TCCTTCCTTCCTTCCTTCCTTCCTTCCTTCCTTCCTTCCTTCCTTCCCATTTAGCAATAGCAGTTAGACTTATATACCACTTCACAGTGCTTTACAGCCCTCTCTAAGCGGTTTATAGAGTCAGCCTCTTGCCCCCAGCAATCTGGATCCCCATTTTACCAACTTCAGAAGGATGGAAGGCTGAGTCAACCTTGAGCCAGTCAGGATTAAATTCCAGACTATGGGCAGAGTTAGCTTGCAATATTGCATTCTAACCCACCATGATCAAATAGTTGGATCATAATTCCATGGTAGGCATGATTAACTCTGGCTGATAAAAGTTAGACGGTGCATTTCAAACCGGAGAGGGTCATTGTGGTACTTTCCTGTTTTGGAGGGCTGGAGAAGGCATTCATTCAAGAAGTTGACTTTGTGTTTGTGCATTTTTCAGCCTGATCTAGACATGTTGTGGAAAAGAGGGGGGAAAGCCAGACTATGCCATATTGATCTCCTTGGATATATGAATGATAAAATGTTTTTTTCAGAGTTGCCTTAGCCATCTGATTAACTAACCAATTATAAATTGAAACTCACAAAATTAATTGCCTGTGATTAGATACACATAAAGTATATAAACTATCGCTGTGATTCTCTCAAAGCCCTTGATGCTGAAGCCCTGCCCTGCATTTAAATGACTTACAGAGGTAGTTTGGATGGATTTCAACATCTCTTTACAGGGTTGGATGTGTCCATTTTCTGTGAAGTGGCTACAGATGTGATCTCATAACTTTTTCTTTGAAGTTTTACTAATTGGATTGTGATCTGTAGTCTTTGTTTCCTCTGTTCTCCTTAAGCTTGATGAGGCTTTAGAATGACTTGGTTGGCATTCTTGGGTTTTAGGCTGGCAAATTGGCAGGACAACACAAGTCTTCCTCCAAAACAATCTCAAAGGAATTTATTACCACTGGTCTTCTCATTTCCTTTCAGGCAGCTTCAGCAGCAACAAGCTGAGTTGGAAGTACACCAGAGAGATGGACTTTCCTCCTATGACTTAACTCAGGTGAGAGGCCCCTGCTGAACTGACCTTGGGTTCTTTAAAATAATCCATAGCTAAACCAAGCAATGTGTCACCAGGAGATTTGTCAATAGCTTTAAAAGAAAGCCAGATTAATTAACAGAAGAGATGACTTTTTGTGATTTCACACACCTTCAGTATGATCTGGAGAAGTTCGTTAGCTTCTTTAATATTCATAGTGGTCCAGAATGCTGGACTAGATGACTCCTGATCCTTCTGTGCTTTTTCCCTGTTTTTGTGTCGGATGCCATCTTCTCCCAGGAAAGGGACAAAAACAAAGGCATATTCCCAGTTTTCCTGTGAAGTTCTACTTTGTTTTCACTCTGCATTTCTTGTGGGATTTAAGGTGCTGTATAAAAACACCACTGATCACAGCCTGTGTTTTTCTTCTCTTCTTCCTTCCGTCACTTATTTCCATCCCAAATTGTCAATAAGAGAACTCCTGCGGAATGTCCTCTCAAAATTCTGCAGAATCTTTCTACCTAGAAGCACCTCAAGATGAGTGAATGTGAGAATGCTTCTGATATCTTGTGTTTGCCTTCTGCAACTGTTCACTTGGTGTCTCTCACACACGTGAATTGCAGGCCATTTTAACTGGATCCATACCATTCAAGCAACAGCTTCATTACTGTTGCAAACTACCAAGCCAGCATGCTTATGATCCAAGGGATAATAAGAGCAGTACAAAAATAAAATATGTCTATTGCAGAAAGCAAATTGGGGTACAAGGACTTGTTTCTAACTAAATTGGGTGGAAATTTAGCCATCAAAGAAATTGTGGTTTCCTCCTCTCTGCCTGTTGTAATTAGGTGCCAGTTCCGAGTATACAGTCTAATGTTCATGAGGGGGGGAAAGCAGTGGAAAAACCAGACACCATCTTCACCCAGGAAAGAGATCCAAGATTTGCGGAGATGTTTGCTGGCATAACTGCTTGTAAGTAAAATAAGTTCTCTAAGTTTCATCTTCAGTAGAAGTTAAGTTTATTGTTACTTTGGATTCTCAGCTGATATCCCATCAAGAGACACTAAAGCCCACGCTCTGTTTCAGTGGAAAACACATAACGGGGGGGAAAGGAGACATTCAAAGCCAAGTTGAATTGTTCTAAGTCAACTCCTTGCCTGTGGATTTGGGAGACAATGGATTGCACTTGGAGAGTCTTAACACTCTCACAAAATGGCAATGTAGGAAGGTATCTCCTATTAGTATAAGCATTAGATTCTCCCATGCCGTGTAGCATATCAAGCAATGAGTATTTTCAGTTTGGGCGAATACTTCAGCATTTTCCCTTGTGACTTTTAAGGTCTTTGTAAGTCATCTACGAATGTTCTTTGCCATGTATTTCAAGGGCATCCTCTTGATTGTTTGGCATCAAGGGAGTCCATCTCATTGCCATTATTTGATTATAGAGCCCTGGTGACGCAGTGGTCAGAATGCAGTATTGCAGGCTAATTCTGCTGACTGCCAGCAGTTCAATCCAGACCAGCTCAAGCTTGACTCAGCCTTCCATCCTTCTGAGGTCAGTAAAATGAAGACCCGGATTGTTGGAGGTAATATGCTGACTCTGTAAACCACTTAGAGAGGGCTGTAAAGCACTGTGAAGCGGTATATAAGTCTAAGTGCTATTGCTATTGATCCATACATTGCATGTTGGAGTCTTCTGCATGTGACAATTATATGTAACTTGCAGAAGAAACTCCTTGGGAACATTTCTTCATTAGTAACATGGTCAAAATAGCAATATTTTAGGATTCCTTTGTTGGAAGATATCAAGTCTTCTCCAATTAGGAGAAATAAAATTTTAAAAAAGCCGTACTTAGCCCTTACAAAAAGGAGTAAATTTGCTCAGCAAACAACCCAATCTTCAGGATGGTTGTAAAGACATGCCTTTGAGGCTAAGTCTTACAACTGAATTGGCTGCCTATTCTTTTATTTTCAACCTATTCTATTCTTAGCAGTGGATGTAAGAGTTGACTTCTCTCCAGTTCCCAATTCATTGCTACATATTTAATGGAAAATCCTTGCTTTCTTTGTAGGGAAAGGGCTTGGATTCAAAACAGTCCTTTCAGTTGTATGTTTTCGCTATTTAAGGGAACAAAAAAAATAGATACTTGCAACTCTAATAACTGTTGTCAGCTGATAGCTGGGCATGAGTAGAAAATCAATAAATCAACCTAGCTTTTTCCAGAGAAGGGACAGAAATCTTGTTGTTTTTTTTGCAGAAGTATTTTAGGATTATTTTTATTGTGATTTGTCCCTCTGTTTATTGTTCCTAACCTTCCCTGCTGCTGATGAAGTTTTAACATTTGTTATTAATTAATCACCATGTAAGGCGTTCTTAGCCAAGGCAGAAGCATCTCCCTGTTTGTAACAAAGGGTCATTGGGAGACAGCAGCACAGCTGGGTCTCCTTCTTTCGAGATGCAGTCGTCTTTTTTCCATCCATCATGGAAAATGCTTTTTTAACAGTTATTGCTCCCTGAAGTTTATTTATTTATTTATTTATTTATTTATTTATTTGATTTGCCAATTGTTTACAAGATAATAAGTATAAATGTATACATAGTTGTGAATACATGAAATGGTTACATATAAGAAAAATAAAAGAATAAGAGAAACAATAGGACAGGGACGGTAGGCACGTTGGTGCGCTTATGCACGCCCCCTAGAGATCTCTTAGGAAAGGGGTGAGGTCAATAGTAGACAGTCTAAGGTTAAAGTTTTTGGGGTTTGGGGAAGAAACTACAAGAATAGCCCTGGATCACTGGATGAACTTCTAGGAACTTGCAAATTGAACGATCCCCCGCCTATTTATAATTTCACACCTCTTTATTTCTCTAAGCAAAATACAGCGGATATTTATGTTATTTATGTATGCATTTATTTATTCTACTTCTATAACTACCGAAACTGAATCAACTCCCGAAAGCTGCAATCAATAAAACATAGTGCACATCATCAAAATAATAAAATTATTTTTCTGTTAGAAGAAGAAGAAGAAAATGAATTTCAATCCGTACAGGGTAACATCCCTCAGTCAGGATTTTTTCCCCCTGGAATAGCTTGATTTTCACTAATTTCCAGAAGAATTACACAAAGGTGTTATCTAAATGCAAGATGGAATAATCCAAAGTATAGGATCTGCTACTGAAATACAATTTCTGTCGATTGTTGTCCCTTCACCTTGGAGCCATGTGGACTACCCTAGATTTTGATGTATATTTGGTGGTTAGAGCCATGGTGACGCAGTGCTTAGAATGCAGTATTGCAGGCTAACTCAGACTGTCAGTTCAATCCTGACCGAGTCAAGGTTGACTCAGCCTTCCATCCTTCCGAGGTAGGTAAAATGAGGAGCCAGATTGTTGGGGGCAACTATTCTGACTCTGTAAACTGCTTAGGGAGGGCTGTAAAGCACTATGAAGTGGTATATAAGTAAGTGCTATTGCTGTTGCTCTTTGAGGTAGTCATTCCATGTGGAGAAGATGGCTATCCTTATAACTCTCCTCAAAGTAACCTCCAATGGATCTCATTTGTCAGAGAAACAGAAGTGCTTAAGAAGATGGCCATGGCATTTAATCTCCCATTGTCTGTTTACCCTACCTGGATCATATGTCATCTAAGCAAGTCTCAACAGGTTAACAGGATAAGCAGCAATAGACATGAAACAAAATTATGAAATTCAACAATAATCAACACTCAATCACTATGACTGGACACCAATAAAACACTGTTAGGGTTGAAGGCCTGGTGAAATGACTTTCTGAAGGTCTTCTAAAAAAACATGGATGGTGGAGCTTTATAAATCTCTGGAAGTAAAGAGTCCCATAGTGTGGGATACTACAAGGAATCTTTAAAAGGCTTTCCTGAAATGTTTTCACCAGGAACCAGATTTAGTTCTGCCAAAGGAAAAAATATATTTCTTCCATGTTATTTTTGAAGGTGAATTCCTACATTCTAGTTCAAAATTGATCCAGATCAGAGGTGGTATTCAACAGATTCTGACCAGTTTTGGACAACCGGTAGTGGAAATTTTGAGCAGTTCAGAGAACCAGCAAATGCCACCTCTGATTGTCCCCACCCCTACCTCTTCTCTGCCTTCCATTGAGTCCCAGCTGATCGGCTGGGTCTTCTTTGGTTGCCCTGAACAGGAGAATGGAACTGGAAAACAGGTTAGTGGGGTTGGGAGGGAATGGGGATTTGCAGTATCCTTCCCCTGCCACGCCCAACAAGCCACACCCACAGAACGGGTTTTTAAAAAATGCGAATCCCACCGCTGGTCCAGATAGTGCACAAATCAAAAAGCACTACTTTAATAAGGTTCTTTCAATCCAGTTCTGTGTCCTTGGAATCAAGGTGAAGATTGTAGTATGGCTACAAGGAAAAAATGAGGACATTAGAAGAAGTAGACCAATCTAGACTTCTTTTCTATAGACTATTGCTTGGCAGAGAGAGGGTGAGAAAGAAAAGGAGGATATTAGAAAAAAAATTGGGTGGCTCCTACCAGTATTGAGGTTAAGATGTGTTCTCCCAAGAGATGATGCCAAGGGAATGCAACCTGTGTTTTTGATCAGGGCAACCTGGTCTGCCCAAATATAGGACAGAGCATACTGCTTTTGCTTTCGCCTTTCAGCCCCAATCCAGAAGCCTTTGTAGGCAGTCGCTTTCGCAACAAACTTTTTAAATTTTAACTTCAACTGGGGGGAAGGGGGAATTCCTTGCACTTGCTTCAAGCCATAAAGGAACCATTTTTGACATAGGATGCAGTTAAAAAAGGAATTGAGGCAAACTACTCGTTACTTTTACGTATTTTGCATAATGTTGATTTTGGATTGACTTTTTCTGAGCCAGTGCGTGCAAACAGCTGGAGCTTGCACAGAGAGGCCTATCATGCTAGGGACATTTGCTTTGCAGCCGTCAAGCACGTATCTTAGCAGGGGAGGGGAGGAATGAAAATATCCCTCATTGCTCCAACCATGTGTTTATAAGCAACACATCCTGTAAAAATCCCCCCCCCCCCCCAAAAAAAAAAAATACAGTGCAGGATGAACTTTACTGCATCTCCTAAGTCAGATATAACTCACTTCTCCTTTATCCCTGGCCAAAAAAATAGAAACAAATATCTAAATATCAGAAAATCAGATGTGTTAGAAGGCTTTTTTTGCTTGGCAAACCTGGCTTCTTGGCTTTGGTGCTCTGAGCAGAGACATTCAAATGATGCTGTACAGTCTCTCTGTCTAATTTGTCACTGATTTCTCAACATTGTGGCAAGGTTTCCACATTTTTAAATTCAAACCCGAATCCAAACTTCATTTTCTGCCGTTGAGAATTTGCCATTAAGAAGTCCTCATGCACAATTTGAATTTTATCTTGGAGGGTGGGGAAAATTCTGGATAATAGATGAATGTTTGTTACTATTTTTATTCTGTTTTCTGTCTGGGATATAATGACAGTGATCCCAGATGCTATTTGTTTCCAGATGAAGTTCCTTTTAGTGTCAAGAAACCTGGATCTACTGCAGCTGTCTTTTAAACTTGCTCCCTCCAATCATGTTGGATCGTAATTCTGGAAACGTTCAGCCTGCACAGCCATGCTTGCTAAGCATTATGGGAGTTGTAGTGTGGCACGTTTCGAGGATGCCCATTTGGTGAAATTGTCTATGTTGCTCAATAGTTGGAGGAATGATTAAACGATTAAATTAAACGATTAAAGGCCTGGAGACTAAAACATACAAAAACAGTTTCAGGAATTGGGTATGGCTAGTCTAGAGAAAGAAGGACTAGGGGAGACTTGATAGCAATGTTCCAGTATTAGAGGGGCTGCCACAAAGAAGAGGGGGTCAACTTATTTTCCAAACCACCAGAAGGCAAGAAAAAAAGTAATAGATAGAAGCTTATCAAGGAGAGAAGCAGCCTACAACTAAGGAGAAATTTCCTGACAGTGAGAACAATTAATTAACAGAACATCTTGCCTTCAAAAATTATGAGTGTTCCATCACTGGAGGCTTTTAAGAGGACAGTTGTTAGGACTCCGACATGCACCTCCATTCAAATCATAAGTCTCTAGCCGCATCTCTCAGTAAAAAAGATTGATTTATTAGGAGTTGACATGTCGGCGTTTCCCGGTTGCAGCTGACTCTGACACATTATTCATTTTACCCTTGACCCTGGTCTTCCCCCCACCCCCTGGGTGTCTATTCTCCAATGAGACACATCCATAGCCAAGAGTCATACATCATGCTCTCCAGTAATAATCTTGCCCGCCAGAAGCTTCGGTTGCCAAAGCGATTATCTCAAGCATTTAAGGAATGCACTGCTTTCCCCCTTCTCTTTCTGCTGACCACTAAAAAGACCAAAGAAGTATTTTTTAGTTGACAGCAGTCACTTATCTGAAATGGTATAGGGGCTCCTGCTTGAGCAGGGGGTTGGACTAGAAGACCTCCAAGGTCCCTTCCAGCTCTATTCTGATTGAAGGTTGATTGAATTGCTAGGAAAAGTAGTCATGCCAAATGTATTTCAAAAAAATTAAAAGTTTGGCTATAGAGGGGCCCCTGGACTCCAAAAATGGGATGTAGATGTTTATTATTTTGGACTGAAATTTCACAAATTCATCTGATTTGGCTGCATTACACCAAAACCTTATGAGAATTGAATGCACAAGTGGTAAATCTCATATATTTTTCTTCCCCCTCCTTTTATTTCCCCTTTTTTCTGTAGTGTTTGTTCGCTGGGCATGTGTGCACATAATTTGCAAAGGGCATCCATAGCTAAAAAGATTGCTAACCATAATACATTCATGCCCTCTTGCTTTTTTTGCAAGAAAATGATATATGGTTCTTTCTGTGTACCCTTATTTTATCCACACAATAGTCCTATGAGGTTAGTCAGCACAAGAGGGAATGACTTACTTAGGATCACCAGCTCATTCTGGACAAAGGAAGACTGACATTTGACCTTCCTTAATCCTAATCTGTCATTCTACTGAACTGCCCCTTCTAATATAGCCAGTTTTGTTTAGCAAATGCTAAATCTGGCCAAGATTTTCAAAGCTTATCCCAAGAGCCAATTATAAATACACTGTCTTTAGACAGTAGTTTGCAACATCTTGGGTGGATTTGCAATGTGGTACAACTTTGTCATTGTTCTTCAAGTCATGGCTTAAGGCCAAAATAAATAAGGTTGAACACAGCTGAACTCTGCTTTCCTGGTCAGCAGCTTAATTTTTGAACCCACTGTATTCATCATTTGCTCCCACAGAAGCCAGAAGAGAAGCAGTGAGATGCCCTTGGTGAACTTTTCTTGTTAGATAATTCAGAAACTTGCTCTATTTCTGCCTGCATTTGAACCTTATTTCTAAAATCCTGATTTTGCAACTTGTGGTGAGAGGACAAGGCACAGTTGTAAGCATGTGAAAAGTGCAATTCTGACATCAGCGCTCTATTGATCAAGAAGAGGTTTTTCTCCTCATGTGATCCAGCCTAGGAAAGATCTAATGTGCTACAGACCCCATAATCTCCTTAATGGGAGTCTTGTGAGCAATAGAATAGAAGGACAGAGTCAAAAGAAGTGAACCATCCTTCCTCATGGGCTGAAGGAGCAATAGTCATCCATACTCATCACCTGTTTACTGAATTTATTTATTTAATGGCTTTGTAGAGAATTTTAAAACATTAAAATAACCATACAGTAAAGTTTGGTCAATATGATAAGCCACAAAAAATGAAACATGTACGATGCTTAGATATGAACAGACATGAAATAACAACAGTAGAATCCAACAAGGAATACTTCAACCTAGTTGAATATGTGGAATGCATCTGTAGATTGTATATGGAGATTCTCAGTCATGAACTGAAGAAGCTTCTTGGATGAGAAGTGAAATGTCTTCAAAGAAAAACCAGAAAGTCCAGTTGCCTCTTGAAAAAGCACCTTTGGGGAACCTGTAGAATGATTTGATGGCAACTGTCAACCCTGAAGTGAACCTGGCTGAGGCCATCTTTGAGGCCTCATGGTTGCCACAAGGCAGAGGGGGAGAAAGGGCAGGGGGAAACTCGGCTTTGCCATCAAAATAAAAAGGTTTTTTTTGTGGGAACCAAGGTCATTTCAACAGGTGGCTGAGAAGAGGAGGAGTGGAGTAACCAGGCAACCTGCCAGCACCACTATTGGACAATGTGACTGATGACCTGGGGGGAATGGGGAACTTTCAGTTTTTAATTAGGTGAAAACTGCGGGAACTTTCAGAGCTGGTTTTCACCAGTTGTGCCAATATGATGTATCCAATAAATTGTTCTTCGAAGAATCTACTGCCTCGGAATTCTGCTTTCAATGGGTGCCTTACTTGGAACGCTGACATTAAGCTGACTCTTACAGATGAGCAATTTCATACAAATGCAATGTTGCACAGGAGGAATTTTGCCATCATTCCACAGACGTAGTTGGAAGACAAGAATGTAGCAGTTAGTTGGAAGGACACCTATCCACAAAATTCTTGGTGATGGTGAAAGGACAGTTTTGCCATTGTTGTGTTTTGTTAGTAAAGATTAGAAGAGATTCAGAAGTATGAAACAGCAGTTGTGAGCTATACGTGGAATGAGGACTAGGTGCAGGATATGGTTACAAAACCAAGTTGGCAGCTACAATGGTACGACCGAAGCTAAACCTGGCTTGTATGATGGTTTGGCTTGTTTTGAGCCGTCTCTTTCTGTTGATTACACTTGCAGCAGATAAAAAGATGATGCCTTCAGCGTCCACAACAGGAAACCAGCAGATCTACTCTCAAGGGAGCCCGTTTCAACCAGGACATTCTGGGAAATCTTTCAGGTACTGTGACTTATGGCAGAATGAATAAAGGCAGAGAATCAACACTTGGCATACATTGAACAAGCATTCATGAATAGGATCTTTTGACCTCAGTGTTATTGGGGGAAAATTGGAGCTCAGAAATAGCCAGATTCAATATACAGTTATATCAATAGAAGAGAATATTTGTAGCTCAGGCTTGAACTGTGAGGTCCTTGGTGCTCTCTGAGCTTGGTTGTTTTCTTGCAGACATTTCATTATCCAACTAAGTAACACCATCAGTGCATTAATAGTGTTTACTTCTTGGTTGTATTAATCTTGTGCTTGGTTGTATTAATCTTGTCTCTGATTATCTGGGTATTCTAGCACTAGTTGGGTAATGAAATGTCTGCAAGAAAACAACCAAGCTCAAAAAGCACCAAGGACCTTACAATTTCCTCCTCCTCCTCCTCCTCTCCAGAAACCCTACTTCTTTCTAGCATACAGCATCTCAAATACAGTTATATCTGGGCTGGTCCACGTAGAATGAAGGACTAGAGGTCAAGCAATCTTCTATCTTCCAAATCCCTTTTTCATTTTCTTTGTTGCAGCTCATCTGTGGTCCATGTGCCAGGTGTCAACGACATCCAGTCCTCTTCATCAACAGGCCAGAACCTGTCACAGATTTCTCGGCAGTTAAATCAAAGCCAAGTTGCCTGGACAGGAAGTCGCCCTCCATTCTCTGGACAGGTATGGCAACTAATTTCAAAAGGCTGTTTTTTACATCTATTTGGGGGAAGAGCAATTGTGTGTTGTATTTTGGGCTCTTATCATTTGGTTCACAAGAGGCATATTTGTAGGTATAGTAATAAGGAGGCTTCCTCTCCAAAGGATGCTTTGGAATATTCTTGAGTGAGGACATAGTTTCTGTCTCCAACACCTGAAAGTAGCATCCCATCAGGTTTGTGTCTGCTGCAAATTTGAGAAGCATTTCCTCTAACAATGGAACGGAGTAGAGTAGGGTAGGGTAGACTAAAGTAGAGTAGAGCTGGAAGGGACCTTGGAGGTATTCTAGTCCAGCCCCTTGCTCAAGCAGGGGAACCTATACCCATGATGGTGAACCTATGGAACGCATGCCACAGGTGGCACACGCAGCCATTTATGCGGGCACGCGAGCCCCAGCCAAACTTATCTGCACTGTGCATGCGCGCACCTCCCAGCTGATTTTCAGCCCATTTGAGGCTGTTTTTGGCCTCCCTGAGGCTCGAGGGAAGCCTCTGCAGCCTTGGGAGGCTGAAAAATGGGTCTTCCTGAAATACCAGAAGTGCCTGTTTTCAGTCTCCGGGGCGCCTCTGGAGCTCGGGGGAGGCTGTTTTCGCCTTCCCAGGGGCTCAAGGGAAGTCTCTGCAGCCTTTGGAGGCCAAAAAATGGGCCTGTTTCGGCAGAAGTTTTGTCGGCACGGGGGTGGTGGTGTTGCGTGCACATGCGCAGGAGGGCAGGGCTCATTGCCTTCCGGGAGCCCAAAAAGGTTAGCCACCAATGACCTATACCATCTCAGACAAGTGACTGTCCAGTCTCTTTTTAAAAACCTCCAGTGATGGAGCGCCCATGATTTCTGAAGGCAAGCTGTTCCACTGGTTAATTGTCAGTTCCACAAGTTAATTGTTCAGTTCCACAAGTTCCTTAAATTACAATAGCCTTAAATTACAAGTTCCTTAAATTACAATAGCAATAAAAATGAAAACAAATGACCTAATTAGCCCTGAAAAAAAGATGCTGATATTGTAATGCACAAGGCTGTCGGGGCTAAGCTTGGATCTCTGTCAGGTTGCTACATTGCTTTTTGAGAAATGCGGACAGATACATCATCTTTTGTTGTTGTTGTTGTTTACTCTCCATTCAGCAAATCCCTTCACAAGCCAGCAAGGCACAATCATCCCCCTTTGCCATTGGATCCAGCCATACTTACCCTGCTGATCCAGCTTCCTTCAGCCCCCTTTCCAGTCCAGCTACATCTTCTCCAAGTGGAAACGCCTATTCCAGCCTAGCTAACAGGACGACAGGCTTCGGTAGGTATGGAAGTTGCTCATAACTGCATTAGCGCATTAATGTACAGGTAGTCCTTGACTTACAACCACAATTAAGCCCAGAATTTCCTGTTCCTAAAAAAGACATTTGTGTTCTGACCAAGGCTTCTGAGACCGTAATTAAGCACACACTTAGTTAAAACAACTCTTGTTTCATTTCAACACTGGGAATTATGTTCATTCCCAGCCTGTAATGAGTCCCAAACAGTCCCTCGAGATAAGCACCCACCTTTCTCTCCTTTGAATTGCTGCCAATAACTAAAGTGCCAAATTGACTGTAAAAAACCAACCGAAGTACAAAGTCCACACAGAGCTTCAAGGTTTAATCCAAACCTTGAATGATTTTGCTTTCTGCAAAGGTTTCTTTACCTTTGCATGTCCTTTATACTTTATGGGAGGGCCAATCACCTCTCAGCCTTACTCCCGAGTCACCCCTTTTGTCTCAGCTGCTCTTCTAGCAGCTCTGTGCACACATGCACTGGGAACAGGCTCCCCTGGGTCCTCTGCCTCGCAGCTGCCAGACTCCGGAGGCTCTGGAGTCAGCACGCCTCCCCCAGATGGTCCTCGCCCCATCTCTGTATTGGACGCAGGACCCTCGTCCGAGTCCTGCCCAGACTCCATGACTGGTCCCCGTTCTTCCCCACTGTCCGATTCTGCTGCCGTCTGCACAGGCTGCCAGCAAACCACAACAATTTGTTAGGTTGAGTTTTGCCCTGTTTTACGATCTTTCTCACTGCCGTTGTTAAGTGAGTAACACGGTTGTTTAAGTGAATCTAGCTTCCCCATTGACTCTGCTCGTCAGAAGGTTACAGAAGTTGATTACAGGACCCCGTCATAAATAGGAGTCAGTTGCCAAGCGCCTGGATTTTGATCACATGACCATGGGAGGCTGCAGTGGTTACTTTTTTACTCACCGTATTGAGAAAACTAGAGAAATTGTCAAAAAGAAATATAGCAAGATAGTATGCATCATAGAACTAGCAAGTATAATGGTCAGTTTGGTGTCGTGGTTAAAGATACCAGTCCAGAAACTGGGAGACTGTGAATTCTAGTCCCACCAGCTAGGTGACTTTGGGGTAGTTCCTCTCTCAGCTCTTAAGAGGAGGAAGGCAAAGCAATATTCTGAAAATATTGTCTAGGTGACTTTAAGATAGGAGGGCTTCAACTGCCAAAATTCTCCATGCTGGCTGGGGAAGTTTGAGGGCTGAAGTCCACATATCTTAAAGTTGCCAAGTTTGGAAAAAAAACACCCGCTGGTCTAGAAGATTTGACCCCGTGGCCCCTATCAAGGGTTATCTTTATTACTCTTGGCAGCTTGCAAGCCCTTTTTTCAGGAATAGAATACCGAACAGACTTTTCCAAAAGTGATGCTAGCCAAAATACAAGAGTTGAACTATCTGGGTGCATAAGGGCATTGTGACTGCAAAGGAAATAGACATAAGAATTCTGACTGGCTAATAGCCCAGTATTCTTCCAGGCAGATTCTTTATCATCTGACAATTTGCTCCTGTTTGCATTAAAAAAAATACCCCAGAAGATTAAAAAAAAGAAGAAAGGAATTGAACAAGAATTGTTTTCAAAGGAATTGTTTTCAAGTCAGCAAATTGAAGCACTATCCCCAACCAAGGGGACTTGACTGAAAATTCAGAAAAGGGTGTGAGTGGATATGGCAGAAAAAAAAGGTGAAGAGAGAACACATTAAACATCAAAGCGTACACAACCCAAAATGTCTGTGGTTTTCTTTCTTTCTTTTGGTTTCTTTTTAAAAAGTTCTACAATGAATTATTCCAGCCTAAGGCAAGGAGAAAGGGAAAATAAAACTTGCTTCAACTGTTCCGGACACTGGATCTAATGTCTAGTGTGTGTTTTTTCAGGACACTGGTTCTTCTAATTCAAAAGTTACCAATAGGATTTGTTTTAAAAAGATCAGCATCAAACAATGTTTAGGTCTGCAAAAACATGCTGACAATTACACCATTGTTGGTATGATTAATATAATAATTAATATTAAAAAGTAGGCCTTTTGGACTACATTCACAAATAGAAAAGTTAGTGCAAGTTTCTAATTCTTACAAATAATTTTAATGTTCTCCTTTGGGAAGAATGAACACAGTTTGAGGAATAATCCTGGAAAGACTCTTCATTTTCTGGAGGGTTGGGGCAAAATGTCTCCTTTTGACTCTTGACAGACCTTTTTGTTCTGACCCAGGCTTCACAAAATCACAAAGCAGACTCCTTATCTGGGCAAGACCCCTTTTTATTAGGCTAATTTTTTTTAGGCAAAGTCCTGGCAAACAATCTTTCAAGAGTGATTTACAATCACAGACCTTATCAGGCTTGGAGAGTTGCCAGGCTGATAGCTTCCAAGCGCAATGCTGTAGCAGAAATTACTTGGCAAGGAGTCAGGAACAAATCTTCACCCTAATTAAATGAACTATTTGTCTCCTGCAAACACTACTCCCCTTTTGCTCCTCTTTATTCCCTATGGGAGGAGCCATTCACCGTCTACCTGTACCTTTACTTCCAAGTCGACCCTTGTTCCTTAACTGTTCCCTTCTCCTGGCAGCTCTGTGCATGCGCACATGGGGAACAGGCTCCAGCTGTTCTTCTTCCCCAATCATCTCTGACTCTGAAGGCAGCTGATAACTATCGGACGATCCTGGCCCCATCTCTGCCTCTGATGCAGAGCACTCGTCAGTGCCTTCCCCAGGCTCTGCTGACAGGCCACAACACTTTTTGTATGCATTTAGATAATCTTTCAAAGAAGGGGCTTCTTTGCGGTATGCAGGAATATTCTGTGAAGTGACAGACAAGAGAGGGAAACCCTACCCTAAGAATAAAAGGCAAGTAATGAGTCTTACCACTATTCTGCAAAGACCTTGCTATTTCTTCAAACTGGATAACACTACATCTCTCATTGCTTAGAGTAAGGGAGACTTTTTTTCCTTGCACAGAAAAGCATAGAATGATGTCATGGAAGGTGAAACTCTATTGTTTATCACCGGTTGATTTGTTCACAAAACGAGGGCTTTGGAAGGAGGAAAGATTTAGGAAGGATAAGATATTCTGTCATATCTTGTACTAACAGATTCAATCCAACCCACAGGCATTTTAAGGTTCCCAGTGCTGGCGCTAATTCACCCACAGACAAAATGCTAGAATTATCATTTTGTTTCTAACACGAATCTTCACAGTGAGGTTTTTATTTTTTTAGCTGAGAGCAGCCAAAGTAGTGGACAGTTTCAAGGGCGGCCTTCAGAGGTCTGGTCCCAGTGGCAAAGCCAGCACCATAACCAGCAGAACAGCGAGCAGCATCCTCACCAGCAAACCAGCCAGACAGAAGTGTTCCAGGTAAGTGAGAACCACCAAAAATGTCTGGGCACCATAGTTCTAGCTTTAGGGCTGTGATGGTGAACCTATGGCATGCATGCCAGAAGTAGCACGCAGAGCCATCTCTGCTGGCACACGAGCCATCGCCCCAGCTCAGTTCCATTGTGCATGCACGCACACGCACACCTCCCTCCAGCCAGTCAGCTGATTTTCGGGTATCTTCAGTGCATACATGGGGGCAGGGCACATGCGGGAAACATGCGTGCATGCACAGGGAGTGGGGGGTCATGCATGCACGCATGTGCAGGGGGTGGGGGAGCACAGGGAGAACATGTGCATGCACAGGGGGTCAGGGGGAGCACAGGAGGTTGAGCGCAATTTTGGCACACGACAACAAAAAGGTTAGCCATCACTGCTTTAGGGATTCCATAGAGTCATTGAGTGGGAAGGAGTCCTAGAAACACTTACATCCAACTCCTGCTCACTATTGGATTCCATGTTAAGACATCCATAACAACTGCCCATCCAGTCTCTGCTTGGAGACATCCAGAACAGGAGAACTCCTTAAATAGCAATTGCATTTAGACTTATATATCACTGTACAATGCTTTACAGCCCTCTAAGTGGTTTACCCCCAACAATCTGGCTCCTCATTTTACTGACCTCGGAAGGATGGAAGGCGGAGTCAACCTTGAGCCTGGTGAGATTCGAACTGCCAAACTGCAGTCAGCCAGCAATCAGCAGAAGTAACCTGCACTCTAACCACTGCGCCACCGTGGCTCTCAGAGGTTCTTAAAATGTTTGACTCAATTACCCCTTTTCCCGGTCTCAAATAATGTCATTACACCCCACAACAAAACCAAATTCTGCCTAGCAATGGCAAATACAAACTCGATTTCAACACACAACTAAGTAATTTCCATTTGCTCCATTCTCTCTTGGAAGTAATTCCCCCAATTTCAAAAGCCACTAGCTAGATCCTGTTCTAGTAAAACTGCTTTTACTTTTAAGATGTTTTTCCTAAGTTCAACTATCAGTAGCAGTGCTATATTTTAAGACAACTATTCTTATCTTTCTTTCTCACCTGTTCTGATAATTTAAAAATGCTATCCATAGCATCTTTTCTCAAGGCTAAGTTTACTAACTTTTTCAATCTCTCCTTATACAGTAGGATTTAATTTACAGTCCCACAATCTTCATTATTATTGGTCCCTATCCATTTTAGATTCTTAACATGAGGTGCCTAGCCAGTTTAGGGTGGAATTTTAGGTATTACTTTTTTGTGATTTGGAAAAATGGCTCACCTCCTTCTCGAGATCCGTAGATTTAAAGGAGCAAGAACAGTAGGATAATCCAGTATGTATTTAAAACTAATTCATCGCTAGATTTGCAAAACTCAGAAGAGTGAAGGTTAAACTGAAGGCATAGTATCTTAGCACATACTAGAGATTGACAGAAAATGGGCTGCATAAGCACAGTGGAAAATGCATGCATGTAGTGTGAATGTATTTAAATTTATTGGCTGCCAACTCCAGTGGGCAGCATCGAATTTAAAAAAAACAGAAGTTCATGGCTGACTCATGGACAGCCTTGGGTAGCTGATGAAGGATACCTTTGCAACGAAACAATGTGTTGGTCTTGAATTGCAGAAGTTTCAAAAAGAGTATTTTTTTATCCCCAAGTTAAACCAAAATCACATTTTCTTTTGCTTTTTCATTCTTCTACAGGATATGCTACCTATTCCAGGGGATCCAACCCAAGGGACTGGCAATTACAACATAGAAGACTTTGCTGATTTGGGCATGTTTCCACCATTTTCTGAGTAAATTTATCTTGCCAGATAACCTGCTCTGGCACAGGGCCGGGGAAACCCTGCTGATGTAGCCTGGGCACTGGTTTTTGTTTGTTCATTTGTTTATTGGTGTCAACATTATCATAGAAGCTCTTATGCAAGAAGCCTCCGTATTTTTTTTTTTTTATTTGAGATAACTTCCTCTCCTTCACCATGTTAACCAGGCAAGTTCTAATAATTTGCATCGTATTAGTCAGGACTTGTATAAGGGTTCAATTTGTACAGGTAATCCTCGACCCATGGCCACAATTGAGCTCAAAATTTCTGTTAACAGATAATCAGAGTTGGAAGGGACCTTGTAGGTCATCTAGTCCAACCCTCTGCCCAAGCGGGAGACCCTACACCATTTCTGACAAATGGCAGTCCAGTCTCTTCTTGAAAGCCTCCAGTGATGAAGCGCCCACAACTTCCGAAGGCAACTTCTGCTCCATGGGTTGATTGTTCTCACTGTCAGAAAGTTTCTCCTTATTTCCAGGTTGACTCTGTCCTTGTTCAGTTTCCATCCATTATTCCTTGTCTGGCCTTCAGGTGCTTTGGAGAGTAGCTTGATCCCTTCCTCTCTGTGGCAGCCCCTTTTGTTAAGTGAGTCATTTGTTAAGTGTATTTTGCCCCATTTTACGACCTTTCTTGCCACAGTGGTTAAAGTGAATCCCTGCAGTTGATACATCAGTAACACAGTTGTGAAGTGAATCTGGCTTCTCTCATTGACTTTGCTTGTCAGAAGTTTGTAAAAGGGGATCAAGTGATCCTGGGATGCTGCAACTGTCATAAGTCTGAACCGGTTGGCAAGCCTCTGAATTTTGATCACGTGATCACAGGGATGCTGCAAAGGTCGTAACTGTGAAAAATGGTCATAAGCCTCTTTTTTCAATGCCGTTGCAACTATGGTCACTAAATGAACTGTTGTAAGTTGAGGACTACCTGTATTTCATTCCCATTGGCAGAAGGGGTCAGGGTTGGATGGGTGAAGGAAAGGGGGGGAGCAAAAGAATGGGGGGGGGCACTTTGTGATTTCCAGAGCTCTTAACATCAGAATGTGAATCGTTGCTAATTTCCCATTTCCACGAAAATTATCTTGCTCAAATATTAGGTGTGCCAATCCTTCACTCACTATTCAAAACCCACCAGATTCCTCTAGAACTTGGAACAAAGGAGTTTTAATGAGTAATGCATAGCAGTCTTGGGTTGGGATGGACTAAAAGAAACACAGTTCAGTCTCCATAATTTGCTTCACTGGGGGAAAATCCTTAAATTGCTTGCATGCACTTGTGGATTTAGTCACTGCAGCCCAACCCTTTAAAAGGAACCTAACTAACAAGGGTGGCAAGAACCGACCTATTGTAATTCTAAACTAAAATTTTCCTGCATATAGATGTGCTGAATATATGGTAGCACTGACTACGCACAACACAAAGGTAGAATTATTATGGTTGTGGGGTTGTAACCAGATCTCAGCTCACGTTGCAACCAGGGTCAAAGTAGGTTGAATGTTTGTGATGCCTTTTTGTGTGTGTGTGAGATGCCTTGAACATGTGGGAGTATCAGTTAAAATAGTAACAAGCAACAACAACTATACTAGCCATCCTGTATCACAAATGTTGTAATTTAGATCAAGAATGTCTAAGATGATAAAGTTTATAAGCTAGAATAGAGAATGGACAGCCTATCTATTCTTAGGATCTGCTCTAGATTGGAACTATAGGATTAAAAAAAATATCAAAACCGAAACCAAAGCTGTTGTTCCATATGACCTTACCTTCATTATGATTATCTATGCTTCATTATGCTCCCTGCCACCTATTTATAAAGTTTTGTAATAATTAAAAAAATACATAGAAAAGCATACCGCATAGAAACGTATACTGCATACACACACATGCAGTAATAGAAAAACATACAATGAAGTGGCATTGTTTTGTGTTTAAATAAAAAAGAATAGATCTGTGACACGCTCTGATTTGTGTGTGTGTGTGTGTGTGTGGTGTGTGTGTGTGTATATATATGTGTGTATATATATATATATATACACACACACACACACACATACATACATACATACATACATACATACAGATCTATTCTTTTTTACTTTTTTACTTATATATTTGAAGTTCTGGCCAACATCTTTCCATCAAGTCAATAACTTTGGATTAGATTGTTTGAACAATAAAGTTTGTTATAACAATAAAAATAGCATTTAGGCTTATATACCTCCCCATAGTGCTTTGCAGCACCTTCTGGATGGTTTACAATGTAGACACATTATTTATATATTGCTACCAACAATCTGGATCTTCATTTTACTGACCTTAGAAGGATGGAAGGCTGAGTCAACTTTGAGCTGGTCAGAATTGAACTCCAGGCTGTGGGCAGAATTATCCTGTAATACTGCATTTTAATCACTGCACCACAGGGCTTGAGTTAGTAACTCTTACTAACTTGAGCTCTTTCAAGCTCTTTCAACCATCCCCCACCCCAAATTGGCACTAAATATAATGCATTCTGTATTGGAATTGCAAGGGAGCTAATGAAGATCAAGGACACTGAAAGAAATATATTGTGGATGTACTGCATAGAAATTATGTTATTATGATGTATACCACATACTGCAAAATCTACTTGTTGATATCATTGTTTGGTGTCATGTTTGCAAGGCACCTTATTCAAATGAGATGTGCTTGTGACTGCAAAGAAGGATTAGCAGAAAGATTGTGACTTCTATGGCAGGCATCATTAAATGGCCAGTAAATTGTGAGATTGGGCCAGTGATGATGTGGCTCACCCATTTTCTCGAGGAAAGTGTGCACGTGTGTGTTAATGCCTTCATTGTTTATCTTATAGTCATTCTAGGCCAGTTTGAATGTAAGGTTACATTCCTGTAATCTGGTGCTTTCTGGCAAAAATGTTTATGGCCTTTCTGACTCCATGTTAAATCCAGCTAAACTTGAATGTGTAGACATTTTTATACCATCTGTATAACTAGTATCATATGAAATCAGTTCTTTGTGTCTGTCTATCTCTCTGTTTGGGTTTGAGTTTGCTATAGAAATGGAAAGTCTGCAACAAAGGAAGCTGTTTGGACAGGGCGCATGATAGCATGGAATTTATAAAACAAATTTAAAGGACAGTTGATCTAGGCTGAGATCTAGTAAGCTCTCCTCTTTGGAACAGGAGATATACATGTCACATGGTATGTGGTCTTACAGAACAGATATGAATGACTGCATTAGTCCAGTTCATCCAATCTTCTCTTTTCTTTCTGTAAAGGAAGAACAATTACTGAGTCATTGTGGCTTTCTTTACACATTAATTTGCAGAATCCTTGATTGTCCAGAATTTAGCACCTTCCAAATGAGTTGAGGTACAGCCTCCTTCATCCTTGGCAGGTATGGTGGGACTTGTAGGTCTGTGTACCCAGGTTAAGAGAGAGGCCATTACATACAATCAGCAATTAATGTATTGGTGGAATGTCACAAATTCAAATTGCAGCTGAGTTTATAGATAGCACAATGTGTTTAAGCCATTGGTTTAAAAATGCATTATTCAATAGGCCACAGGTGGCTGAGTTCACACTTATTGCTGAGCCATAAGTCATGGTTTACAAACCAATGCTTGAGTTTACAAATTGCCTAGTTTGCTAAGCCTAGTTTGACATGTGCATTGAGTATTCTTAATGTTCAGTGCCTTGGCTATTCTCGGATGTGACACAGTCCAGCAGATTCACAGTTGTAGACCCAGTATAGCTGGACGACTGAAGGAACAGCTTTTACATTCAAAAATAGTCTTAACTACAAGCAAGAAAAAGTGGCTGGATCCACCAATCTTGTGAAACCCAAGTTAACAAAAATAATTCCTGCATTTGCATAACATGCTATATCCAAAACAAACTCCATTGTGACTTAAGGTGATGCCTGTTTCTCACAACATCCTGAATTACAGGTTACAATCAACTCCATTTTAGCCCATCCCAGCATATCCTGCAAATGTAACTAATATGAATATTAATGTCAAGACAAAGAATAAGTGAACAAGGGTAGAAGGAAACACTTCTGGTGTCTGGCTCTCACAATAGATACAGGAAACTATTTTCAGCAGTAACCCAAGTTGAGTGTAATAAGTAGTTCCAGCCTTTGGGCTGGTTTCACGAAGCTCGAAGCCATAAAATGGTTTGTTTGTATTTAGCTTAACGTGATGTTATTTGTGTGATGTATCTGTTCCCCCCAAAAAAGACATCATGGGCTTTTTACGACAAACCATAATTTAAAATCTTACTTTCTTAAGATTATAAATTGTATCTTGTTTTAATCATGGCTTCAGTTTATACCTGAAGTAAAATTATTTCTGTGCTCTGCCCTTTTTTGTTTTACATATTGGCAAAAGGAATAGAGAGAATTGAGAATCCTGATTACTTCACTAGTTTATAAGATTCACTCTGCCTTGTTCTAACGTCTTCAAACCATAGTTTTTAAAAAGCCTAAATTAGTGTTATTAATATTAGTAAATTAGCTCAGTTTGTATAAAGCATTAAGCCTTAAGCAATGTTTTTTACAGTGTTTGAACAACATGGTTTAAAGTTATCGGCAAACCAAGCCAGTGTGGTATTTTGTTTGTTTGTTTTTCAACAAATCTGAGGTTAAAAATTCCGATTTTGTGTTATATGTGAATTCCACCATTATTTTGGTCATCAGTGCCTATATACTGTATAATTTGGTTTCTTTTCCTGGCTAGAAAGCAACATTTAGAATTACAAGCCAACCTTTTCAAAGTTCTGAATTCATTTTAGTCCAGCGTTAACAATACTGATTGATCTTTTTTGTCCCTTGCTGGTGTGGTGTATACATTTTTATATGCACTATGCTTCTCACATCACCCCTCTTTTAAACATTTGGCAGATGTGCAGTCTATATAATAGGTTATATAATATATAATAGATATTATATAGGCTATCTAACAGATATTTTGTTTAATCTTGGTGAGTTTGTTTGAG